ACATATTCATAATACAACATTTCAATGTTTAGATCGCAACAATCTTATTGTGGATAACCAATCAGGGTTTCGAGCAAAACATTCTTGCCATACGGCCTAAACAGACATGTTAGCTAAATGGCATCAGAATAATAACAATGAGAAAATATGTGGAGGGATGTTTATAGACTTTAAAAAAGCTTTTGACATGATAGACCACGATATTTTTATAAGAAAATTAGAAACAATGAAATGTAATTCTAGGCTATTATTATTAATGAAATCCTTTTTGTTGAATAGGAAACAAATAATCTCATACAATAACTCCCTATAGTGGACCACTACCTTGAATATTGGGGTATCCCAAGGCTCGATTCTCGGCCCTCTGTTATTCAATATCTACATAAATGATCTTCCCTTATGCCTGTCGTCGTCCTGCGATTTTTTTGCAGACGACTGTACCATCTATGGAAATGCTCAGACATGTAATTTACTAAAATCGCTATTACAACAAGAATTAAGCAATGTAATCAAATGGATCAGTGCAAACAATATGCAAATAAACATTAATAAAACAACATCTATGCTTACGACGACCTGACAAAAACTATGTAGTTTAAATTCACAGAGAACGCTTCAATTCTACGTTGAGAGGACTCAAGTGGAAAGTGTAACTGAGAACAAAGCACTGGGGGTTGGTCACTGGTGCAAATTTAACCTTTGACTCTCATGTACAAGCAGTTGTGAAACAACCAATTAAAAAGGTTCACCAATTTGCAAAAGTTTTAAACTTTCTTGATGAAAATACAAGTAAGATATTCTGTATTTCTAACATCCAGACATATATAGACCCTTGCTCTACAATGTGGGATGGCTGCTCCAGTTCTGTTATCAAGAGGCTCAAGTCACTGCTTAATAAGTAAAAGTAATAATCATGGGACAGTGAGTTTCGAAATATATACAGGTTTTATGCTACCACCGCTTTGTAAACGTCTACTTTTCAAAAAGGCGAAATGTATTCACAAAATAATATCTCAAAAGGCTCCATGTTACTTTTGGCTGTTGTTTAAATATAATGGCAGGCACAGTAAACGCCTTAAACATATTACACATCCCTAAACCTAGAATAGACCTATACAAAGCAAGTTTGGCGTACTCCGCTGCTCAATTGTGGAACTATCTTCCACAACAAATCAAAAATACCACTAGTCCCTGTACATACAATCGAAAGTGTTCGAATATTATCTGAGCTCCCATAGAAGATGAACAATATTTTAGAAATAGCGCACATTTTCCCTAAATTTATTACAACTACTGCTGTTTACTGTAGTTAGAAATGTAGGACATTCCAGTGCTCGTAGTGCATTTTGTGATGCTATTGATAATGTTTACCATTACTTGATGTATGAATGAAATGATGTGAGAATGGAGGGAGACAACGAAATGCAGAATGTTAAACGGGCCTGCGTGCCCTATTCGCAACTTTAAAAAAAAAAAATTTTATTCGTTCGTTTGTTCGTTCAATTCACCACCAAGTGGGGCAGAACCGGTCACACTGGCAGAAGGAATAAATTGTAGAAGAAATTTTTTTCCGGGGAAGGAGAGTGGAACGCTGGAAGGTTTAGCACTAGTAAATTCCAAGGTGTTTTGACCATGTGGTCGAAAATCAAGAACCTGTTGAAAGGTGGCATCCTGAGTCCTGTTTAACAGGTGTGTTAATTTATTCAATTATAACAGGATTAGCCTGGTCCTCCAGGTTGCAGGTTGAAGCGTGGGGCCGACTTCCCCACCTTTGTAAAACATCATCTCGTCACGAAACAGATATCTAAGCATCGATTTCGGATGGATTTAAAGGGACAACGAAACTGGAACGTTAAAGGCATGACCACGAGGCAGACTAAGAAAACTATGGAGAGATAATGTCCAGACAGACTTGCAAAACACTTGGTGTCACCAACTGGAAAGAGAAGGCCGACCAGAGAGGCTAGTGGAGATGGGTGATATCTGCAGCAATGAAACTTAACGCCTCGGAATGCTAAAGAAGAACAAGATAACATTATCAAAGATTTTTTTTTAAAATGGTCGTCAACAGCAGAGCACTTTGGAACGTTGGCTGTAAACAAAACGAATTACCCCAAACACAGTACAGGAGGCGAAAGATGGTGACATGAAACACCAGAATGGATTCCTGATGTTATCACATTTTCTGTTATTTTTATTGATATATCATGGAAGGTGACTTACCTTCCAAACAATAATTCCCTTAGATCACCCGTTCTTCCTTCTCTTTTATGTGCTATGTCGCTATTTTGATCAAGCTGCAGTAAATACAATGTTTCATATCTCATATATACGGTCTGAGAATTTGAACGATTTGAAATTCGAACGCCGTCTAAAAACGGGTTATGTTCGAATTCCGAAGTACCACTATTGTTATTTTTAAAAAAATAATTTTAAAAAAGGTGAAGGACCCTTTCGGCACACTGAGCGTTTCTGATATGTGCTGGATTCAGTTTATTAATTTCCAGTCGACATTTTATGTTAACACTACGTCTGACCGCCTTTACTTCCCAGGACATTATATCGTATCATATTTAGACTGGGTAGATCTAGAAGCCAAGGGGGTCATTCTATTTTAACATTAGACCTGACAGGGGTTTCAGCTCAAGATCTACAGGCCAGCATATCCAAGAACAAACAGAATCCAGGGAGCCATACACAAACAGAATCCACATAGCCACACACAAACACAATCCACATAGCCACACACAAACACAATCCACCGATACATACACAAACACAATCCACAGAGCCACATACAAACATAATCCACATAGCCACACAAAAACACAATCCACCGATCCATACACAAACATAATCCACATCGCCACACACAAACACAATTCACCGATCCATACACAAACACAATACACAGAGCCACATACAAACATAACCCACATAGCCACACACAAACATAATCCACCGATCCAAACACAAACAGAATCTGCAGAGCCATACACAAACACAATCCACCGATCCCTACAAAAACACAATCTACCGATCCATACAAAAACATAATCCACCGATCCATACACAAACACAATCTACCGATCTATACACAAACACAATCCACATAGCCACACAAAAACACAATCCACCGATCCATACACAAACATAATCCACATCGCCACACACAAACACAATTCACCAATCCATACACAAACACAATACACAGAGCCACATACAAACATAACCCACATAGCCACACACAAATACAATCCACCGATCCAAACACAAACACAATCCACAGAGTCACACACAAACATAATCCACCGATCCAAACACAAACAGAATCTGCAGAGCCATACACAAACACAATCCATCGATCTCTACAAAAACACAATCCACCGATCCATACACAAACATAATCCACCGATCCATACACAAACACAATCTACCGATCTATACACAAACACAACAAACACACATCCATCCATGATCCATACACAAACACAATCCACCGATCCATACACAAACATAATCCACCGATCCGCCACACACACAATCTACGATCTATACACAAACCAATCACATCGCCACACACAAACACAATTCACGAATACACAAACACAATACACAGCCACATACAAACATAACCCACATAGCCACACACAAATACAATCCACCGATCCAAACACAAACACAATCCACAGAGTCACACACAAACATAATCCACCGATCCAAACACAAACAGAATCTGCAGAGCCATACACAAACACAATCCACCGATCCCTACAAAAACACAATCCACCGATCCATACAAAAACATAATCCACCGATTCATACACAAACACAATCTACCGATCTATACACAAACACAATCCACATAGCCACACAAAAACACAATCCACCGATCCATACACAAACATAATCCACATCGCCACACACAAACACAATTCACCAATCCATACACAAACACAATACACAGAGCCACATACAAACATAACCCACATAGCCACACACAAATACAATCCACCGATCCAAACACAAACACAATCCACAGAGTCACACACAAACATAATCCACCGATCCAAACACAAACAGAATCTGCAGAGCCATACACAAACACAATCCACCGATCCCTACAAAAACACAATCCACCGATCCATACACAAACATAATCCACCGATCCATACACAAACACAATCTACCGATCTATACACAAACACAATCCAAAGAGCCACACACAAACACAATCCACTGATCCATACACAAACACAATCCACCGATCCATACACAAACATAATCCACCGATCCATACACAAACACAATCTACCGATCTATACACAAACACAATCCACAGAGCCACACACAAACACAATCCAAAAATCCATGCACAAACACAATCCACCGATCCATACACAAACTCAATCCACAGAGCCACACACAAACACAATTCACTGATCCATACACAAACACAATCCACCGAGCCACACACAAACACAATCCACCGATCGATACACAAACACAATCCACAGAGCCATACACAAACACAATCCACATATCTACACACAAACACAATCCACTGATCAATACACAAACACAATCCAAAGACTTACACAAAACAATACACTGATTCCCTCCCCCCCCCCCCCCAACACAAACACCGATCCACACATAAACACAATCCACAGAGCAACAAACAAACACTATTCACCGATCCACACACAAACACAATCCACCGATCCCTACAAAAACACAATCCACCGATCCCTACACAAACACAATCCACCGATCCATACACAAACACAATCCACCGATCTATACACAAACACAATCCAAAGAGCCACACACAAACACAATCCACCGATCCATACACAAACACAATCCACCGATCCATACACAAACACAATCTACTGATCTATACACAAACACAATCCAAAGAGCCACACACAAACACAATCCACCGATCCATATACAAACACAGTCCACCGATCCATACACAAACACAATCCAAAGAGCTACACACAAACACAATCCACTGATCCATACACAAACACAATCCACCGATCCATACACAAACACAATCCACCGATCCATACACAAACACCATCCACAGAGCCACACACAAACACAATCCACTGATCCATACACAAACTCAATCCACAGAGCCACACACAAACACAATCCACTGATCCATACACAAACACAATCCACAGAGCCACACACAAACACAATCCACTGATCCACAGATTCACACACAAACACAATCCACCGATCCATACACAAACACAATCCACCGATCCATACACAAACACAATCCACCGATCCATACACAAACACAATCCACTGATCCATACACAAACACAATCCACAGAGCCACACACAAACACAATCCACTGATCATACACAAACACAATCCACAGATCCACACACAAACACAATCCACCGATCCATACACAAACACAATCCAAAGGCTTACACAAAACACTACACTAACCCCCCCCCCCCCCCCCCCCCCCCCCAAAAAAAAATTACACCATCCACAGACTACACACTTTTTTCATCAAGATTATTTCACAGGGGTGGGATGTGGGGGGCATGGGGTGGGGGGTGGAGGCACGAGGGGGTGGGGGCGGGCTCTGTCACAGCCATATTACATTCTTCTCCTCCAGCTCCTCCTCCTTCTTTTTCATTTTCTTATTCTTCTTTTTCTGCTTCTTCTTCTTTTTTACTCATTTTCTTCGTTCCTCCACTTATCTCCTAAAGGAACATGGACGCAACCAATTAAAGCGTCTTTGTTCACTTTGGTCTATTGTTGCAGCTATGTTTATTTTTTAAAAGGATAGGTAGTTAGTCTTCTAACAAGCCTCTTATGACATGAATGAAATATAGCAGTAATATTATTATTGTTATTTGCCTCCACTTTGGCTCCCTGTAACACTGTGGGAACATTTGAATCTGGGTGCTTCTTCGCAAGCAAATACTCAAACTGTACTGTGTCACACTGTTCAAGCTTAAATAGGCGGAGTAAAAATAACACCTCGATGGGCCACCAAGCGTTAAAAGCAAGAAATTGTCAACGCAGGGCGAGCTGCTCTGTAAACGAGGGCTATATCGATGCAAGCAGGTGACTTTATTCGTAAAAACATTCCTTGATTGTTTGACATAATAGCTGAGTTTGTATTGGCTTCTAGGTAAGCAATAGAAATAGAAATGACACTAACGAGACTACAGGAATTTCGCTGCTGCCTTTGGACATAACTGTAGATGTTGTTAAAGTCAAAGTTCGGCAAAACAGTTCTAGAACTGCTTGCAAGAGTTCCCCGTAGATGTGTCTGAACTTGATCACAGCAATCACCAATGAAAACGGGAGGAATAAGGTCTAGGCTTCGCATAAAACCAATCAAAGTCGAAAGTTCCCAAGTGATTTGCATGAGAGATCGAACTTGTCCGCGCTTGCTCTAGAATGATCGATTGCCCGAACTGAGTCCTGTTTAGCGGGGCGAAACACTCTGATAAGTGAGTTGTAGTAAGTCTAGAGGTAAACAAGGTCACAAAATCCGTACTCATTGAGGTGCTATTTGATCGATCTGAGAGTATTCAGATACGGCTATACAATGATTTCTAACGGTATTGCAATTTAACCTTGCGACCCCGGCATTCCGTGCAACGACCTAGTAGCTACGAAGAACGCAGTATCGATTACTACTTCTGTTGACACGAGTGGCTAACGGTAAAAAAATTTTTTTTAAAGCTTCTGAGGGTTTTAAAGTAAACACGAAATTATTATGTTTCACTTTGCCGGATGAGGTGACTAATTCTTTTCTAAACACATTTTTATTTATCTATAGGGTGGAGTCAATTACAGTCCGTTTCATAATTCATGGCCAACTTTAAAAATCTGTAACTGAGTAAAACCATTTAGCGCAAACTGTTGAAATTTGACATGATTAACAATCATGTCCTTGTAAAGATGTTTGTTGTTTGTTTTAGTATCCAGAAGCTATGAGTTGTTAACCCTTAGGCTCGGTATTATGGATTTCGCAACCTTTCGGCCTTGATTTCATTGTATATACCGTAAATATGGGAGAAATGTGGCTTTTCTGCCTACACGTGGGAGTGAACCAAGACCACAAGGAGTTCGTCACCCGGACACCGCGCAATCCGGTTTAGCCAACTACGCTAGAGAGCCGCGCGTCCTTGTGATATATATATATATATATATATATATATATATATATATATATATATATATATATATATATATATATATATATATACTAGCTGTACCCGGCCACGCGTTGCTGTGGCATAGTTTGGCTAAATGGAAAAGAAAGAAAATAGAAATCGCACGTGTCTAATACAATCATTGTCTGCTAAGATATAGAGATAGTCTTTGATCCCCTACCCACCACAACTAAATCCACCTACTACTCTCTCCCTCATCAAAGGTTTTTGGAAAAAAAAAAGACAATGGAAATCGTACGTGTCTAATATAGTTAATGTCGCAATCATTCTCTGCAGACAAAAATATAGAGATGGTCTGGTTTTCCAACTTTAGAACACGCACCATATAATTGTGTCGTTATATTAGTGGTCGTTTAAATAGTGTTATTGGCACAGTAACAAAAGTGGTTTTTTGGTTATCACATGCTAAAGCTGTTTGTATTTTTATAGGAGACGTAAGTAAAGCTACTGCTGTACTTGTAAATAACAAAGTAAGTCGTTAAAAAATTAGAAAAGCGGAGGTAGCGTTGGTAAAATATAAACAAATTAGGTAATGAGAACTTGAAAATCATGTGTAAAGCTCTTTAAGTCCTCTTAAATTTCAGTCATTACCCCCTCCCCTCCCCTCTTCCACTGACTACTGTTCTCTCCCTCTTCGAAGGATTTGAAAATCACTACCTGGCGATATTTTTTTTGTTGCTGTAACTGACATTGACATCCCTGTCCATCCGGACTAAAATGGGGAGCAGGAATTGTAATAGGTAGTAAATGGGGCTAGTGAAATATTTACCACATCATCCTTCAAGTACCAGTACAACTACTACCACGACCACCACCACAGTAGCTAAAATAATGTCACTGCTATCTGTGTTACCATCGGAGTAGACAGAGAGTCGTGAGCAAGAAGATTTGGTTCCGCACGGCTAGTGCTGTCACCACAGACTGGTCAGATTAGGATGTATAATTTCACTTCCGGACAGAAGAACGCCATAACCTTACCGGCTGTCTTCACATGAGAGCACTATGGTGTAACAGCCCAACAACAACTATTACTGCTTCTGCTACTTTTAGTGGGTAAAGCAGTTACTGTGACTTAAAGCTCTATCAGTTAATAGTTTGAAAAAAAACAAACCCCCCCCCCCCCCCCCCCCTAAATTCACCGACAACTCTTTCCCTCATTGAAGTAGTTGGGAGGGAAAAAAATACTTGAAAAGCAAATGAACACAGGAAAAAAACACCATAATTAGGAAATGAACGCTATGGTTAAACAGCACAGCTTGAAATTCCAACGCAGATGATATAACTAAATCTAAATGAAAATAAATAGAAATCTACGAAATTTCAGCGTAACCATGCAATCGGAATGTTTAAAAATGCAATCATAAGTATGCGAAATGGTCAAATTTAATTATCAAATGGTTTACCCATTTACTTGTCTTTTTTTTTTTAAGTATCAAGGCAACATGGCTAGTGCTGTCTCCATGACGGAGCAGATGAGGATATTATTTTAGTCCGGGGTTTAAAAAAATTAACCACTGCGGATTCGAACCCTGGTCTCCCGCACAGGAACCCAGTGTTCTAACCATTCGACCAAGCAGCCACTTAATCGGATCAAAGAAAAGAGAACTGAACTAATAGAGATGTGTGTCCCTACTACTGTGTCCCGATTATAACACAACTCAAAACCGCAGGCAATTGTTTTCTCGTAGACAGATACTCCAGATATATTAATGAAACGGCACAACAATAGAAATCGCACGTGTCTAACACGGTTAATGAAGTTAATGTCGCAGTCAATGTCTGAGCCGACGTCAAGATAGTCCTTGATGCCCCCCCCCCCCCCCCCCCCCCCCCAATCGAAGGTTGTTTGAAAAAAAAAACAGAAAGTAGAAATCGTGTTTAATATGGTTATTGTGGCAAACATAGAGATAGTCTTGTTTGCTGTACCACGACCTACTCTATGTATTAGAGAAGGCGTTGGCTGCACGTAACTCGCCGGCGAATGGTGGAAGCCTTGCGTTCTGACTACGGCGCATGCGCAATTACTAACGTGGCTATAATTAGAAATCACTAAAATTATAAATATTAGTTTCGAATATTATGGCATAAATTGTCGCAAACTATCTCTAACAATGACAGGTTGAATTTCAAACCACGATGGGTGAACATCCAGTATCAAAACAAACATATCCTGAAAATTTCAGCTAAATCAGTTCAGTAGTTTCCGAGTCTATAGGGGATAAACAAACACACAAACATTGATTTATATATATATAGATATATCTTCATCATCATCATGTGCCCTGCCAACTGGCATAGGCGCTTATGTGTCTCCACAGATCACGATCCCTGGTTTCCTGTAACATCTCTCTCCCTGCCGTGGATGTGACTTCCTGGAGGTTTCTCTTGTTAAACAACAATTGTAGATCTGGATAACAGTGCGTATATATGCACAGCAATTGTGGGGGCATTTGTGTTTAAAGACATAATAGAACTGTTAACGTGAACGTTACGAACGGCTGCGTGATCTCGAGGAATAGCGTCTGAGTGCTAGAGGTCCCGGGCTCAACTCCTCCATGCCATCGTTTCAGCCCATCCAGCATCATCTTTCTTGGTCTGCCTCTGCCCCTGCCCCTTTTTCCTCTGATCTTTCCAGTTGTCACGATGTTCTCCAATGTCTCTCTTCTCAATATGTGGCAAAATAAGTGTTGGTCTCTTTCTTAGAGACATGTGTGTGTGTGTGGGGGGGGGGGGAAGGGGGGGGGGGAAGGGGGGGGGGTGTTTAGTTGTAAACAAACACCTAGTTTTAATTTTTTATTATTTGCGATACTTGAAAGAACAGAGATCGATTCAAAGCAAAAAATCAACAGGCTTCCGGTTTACAGAGTAACGGACATTTTAAAAACATAAATTCCAGGAATTGCTAGGCGTTTCACTCTCAAGTATCGTCTTGTCCCTGTCCGAGAGTCCGATAAAGTGCAGCAGGGGAAGATTGAGGCCTGGAATCATGATCAGGTCAGGCCTACCTTCCGAGATTGTCTAGGGAAGTAATGCGCCGAAAAAATCGTCGACGAAGGATCTCTCTATTGATGACGGTGGACCC